CTAGTTGCAGGCTGCTCTGTCTAAATCTAGCCTATCTCACAGTGGTATATGTGAGAATAAGGCCAAATGTATATAAGCATTTTAGAATCAGCTTGGTGCCGCTGTTATTCCATGTGGTTTAGAACTGCTGCACCTCTGCTTTCAAGTTAGCATTAGGGGAGCTGTCCACTTTTTCTTTTTTTCAGTTATCTAATCACAATCTATTGTTCATCACTAGATGGCCCCTGGGGATTACTGGAGTGTTCTGGGACTGGAATGAGAGGCCCCACATTGGAATAATAGCCCCTGGGGTTAGCAGGAGTATTCTGGGACTGGAATAACCAGCTCCAGAGTGGAATGACAGCCCAGGGTGTAGGAGATGTGTCCTGGGACTGTAATGATAGGCCTGGCATTCCAGTTCCAGGACACTCCTCTTACTCCAAGGGGATGTAATTCCACAATTGGGCCTGTTATTCCAGTTCCAGAACACTGCTGCTAACCCCAGGGGCTGTCATTCCACTCTGGGGCCAGTTATTCCAGTCCCAGAACACATCTGCTACCCCCAGAGAATGTCATTCCACTCCATGGTCTCTCATTCCAGTCCCAGAACACATCTGCTACCCCAGGGACTGTCATTCCACTCCGTGATCTCTCATTCTAGTCAAAGAACACTCCTGCTACCCTCAGGGGCTCTCATGTCACCCTGGGGCCTGTCATTCCAGTTCCAGAACCCTCCTGCTCCCCCCCCCCCGGGCTGTCGTTTCACTGTGGGGCCTGTCATTCCAGTTTCAGAACACTCCTGCTACCCCCAGGGGCTGTCATTCCACTCTGGGGCCTGTCATTTCAGTTCCAGAACACTCCTGCTACCCCCAGGGGTAGCAGAGGTCCATCGGTGGCTATTAGCCACAAGGTATAGATAGGGACTCTGGGGCAAGTGATGCTCTGTCTTCTTGGTGCTTGGGGGGGTCAACAGTGGGAGGGCTTATAATGTCCTGGCCTCACTGGTGGACCTCCTGATGGCACCTGGTATTTTTGGCCACTGTGTGACACAGAGTGTTGGACTGAATGGGCCTTTGGCCTGATCCAACATTGGCATCTCTTATGTTCTTATGTTATGTTCAGGGGCTGTCATTCTACTCTGGGTCCTGTCATTCGAGTTCCAGAACACTCCTGCTACCCCCCTGGGCTGTCATTCCACTCCGGAGCCTGTCATTCCATTCCCAGAACACTTCTGTTACTCCTAGGGTCTGTCATTCTTACCCCTGTGAACTTAAAAATGAGAAACACCATGACTACAAGGCAGGAATTGCAACTTTTTGAGCCAAATGCAAGCTCTTACTCAAAAAAGCTACTGACTGTGCCTTGCCCAGTCATATTCAGTGATTATAAATTTAATAAACAGATAAATTTCAAATAATTTTTTTTGAGGACTGGTACATAGCGATGAGTAAAAGCAGCCATGCAGGAATCAAACCAGCAATACCCTGATTTACAGGGCAGGAATTTACCCTCTGAGCTAAACACCAGGTCTTATGTTTTATTGCTGAGTGTGCCTCCTACAGCTTGAAGTAAACCCCCCCCCCCCGGTGAACTTAAAAATGTCCCATAAAGCAGGGGGGGGTCAAGAAAATAAATGGTTTGAAAGTGGATAGATAAGTTTTGGAAGATAAGATTTGAGGGCTGGTACATAGTTATGAGGAAATAGAGCCAAGCGAGAATAAAATTAGAAACGCCATTTCTGGATTTAAACGTTTTGAGATAAATGCAAGCTCTTACTGCACCAGTAGTGAACTTAAAAATGTTCAGTCGGTCTGTAAAAGGGGTTAAAAAATAAAACCTTCAAAAGAAGATAAAAATTTTAATAATTATTTTGGGGGCTAGCTAGTAAAAAGAGAAAAGAGTACTGTTGGAATCGAACCACGAGTTACCGCCTAGTTTTTTGTGCGCAACCTGTTGAAATTATTTAAGAATTAGTGGCGCAACAGCTCAAAAACGTCTGCATTAGGTTTTACGGCGCAACGAAACCAGAAAGGAGGCAATAGAGCAGCAAAGAACAGCATTCATTTAAACCAGTGCGGAACAGCTATGACAATGGAGTCACTACCAGAGGGCGGGAAACATATGCAGACACTGATTTTTATACTGGTGCACTGCCAGCATGAAACCGGATGCAAATGTAGACAGTTTGTTGGGGGACGGGAGCAAAAATGTCAGGAAACCAGCAAGAAACACACATGTGGATTCGACCTAAAACAAAGATGGGAAGAGCTGCATATGCTGATCTGAGCACCCCAGAGAAAGGGTAGGATAAGAGCACATTTTTAATTCATTTTTTAAAAAACCTGCTCAATCACCAATTACATTTTATGTAAAGTGTTGTGATTCTTTCCTAAACATTTTTTTAAACACATGTGCACACTCAGCAGTCTGAGGCAAGCTGTGTCTGACTGCTAGAGGGGAATGCAAAGAAGCTGCTTAACCTTTTTTGTCTTGAAATTACACTCCTTATTATGCCTTTTAACCTGCATAGGGAGAAATATCCCAGTAGCTTCTCAGAACTCCCCCCCCCCAGGGAAAAGCCGTGTGGGGAAAATAAGTTTTCAAGAGAAACAGGAGGAGAGGGAAGGGGTAAGAAACTTCTCCCTGCCCTCTCTTCCCCTGCTCATGAGCTGCTTTGGGTGATAAAAATAACCACAGAGGAAAGAATCAATGAACTCTGTTTAATAATACTTGTAGCATGAGCCAAAGATCAGATTACAACTAAGGGGATGTTGTTATAATAAAAATGTACAGTCCAAACCTGAACCACGGCCATTCATAAACTCCACAGTTGAATAGGATTACTTCCAGTATTCAGGAGCAGTTGGAAATTTTCCAGTCCAGTAGTTATTCTGATGCCTTCTCTGGTTTCACTTTAGTAGGCCATGGGTGGTGGGAAAGGCAGCCTATTGTGTCCTGGGCAGCCTCTGATATGAGAAGTCATCATGGCTGAGAGAAAAGTAATGAAAACACCAGTACAAAATGAGGTCAATCACAGGACAGATTAGGACAGTGGTTTCCATCCCATGGTCCAAGTCTTCAGATGGGTCGTGGAGCCCCTCTTGCTGGGTCACAAGCCCTTAAAGGGCTGCCTTTTTGCTGACTTCTTCAAGGACCTGCCAAATAGAATAGAAGGGTACCAAGACTGTCATCTCCCTTTGTATGCAGCCTGAGAAGAAGATCAGACATATACCCTCTGGTTTGTGTCTCCTGTGCCCACTTATTTTGGTCTGCTGTTCATGGTTCTTGCATTGACATAACTCTGGTGCCTTTCTTCCTATCACATGACTTCCTGTCATGGCTTTACCATTCACTGAATACCATAATCAGTGGTTCCCAGGTCTGGAAAGACTGAAGACTATTGGATTAAGGTTTAGCACCCCTTGCCAATGGGATCTGTTCTTATTTAAAAACAGATACCCACTGCTCTCCTGAAGATCCTGGGAAAGAGGAAAAGCCTTATTTACGTGTCAGTTCATGTCCATTCTGCAAGTGAAAATTTTAACTTCCTATGGAACTGGGACACTTTCTCTTATCTCCCTGAAATTTGGGAGGAGGATCCTTTGTGAGAGGGGCACAGTCCCTGGGAATCCCAGGGATGAGGAGAGTTACATCCAGAAATATGTTTTCCATCCCTATCAAATTGATTTCCTATGATGACTAGCTTATGGTTGGATAGTAGAGAATTGGCCTTGAGTTCTGAAAATGATAAATGACCTAAATCCAACTGCAACTTTTTGTTTTGCTCCATCCTAGATTACAATGCAGTAATAATGAACATAGTAGTGAGGTCAGTGTAAACAGCAGATGCTGTACAGATGCTGGTTCAGGCTTGAGGACTTCACTGCTGAGGAAAAGCAACTGAGGTCAGTCAAGATAATAGATTACATCCTAAGGCCAATGCTAAGAAGATAAATAGACCAAGTCTAATAGCTGATTAATTATCATTCCTGACCCATCAGGATACTGCTGTAAAAACAACTCAATGTATTCTTACTGAAAGTATGCATCCTTGTCAGTGGCTTATCGTAACAAAATGGGAACATTTCCTGCCACTCATTCTCGTACAGGATCTCCCGCACACAGCCAGGCAGTATTATGCACATCAAAGTATTTCTGCAGTCTGTGATTAGAATATGCAGACCAATTGCATAATAGCTCAGGTGCAGTTTTGCTTGCCACCATTCAATATATATTTGGAAGTTTTGCAATGTGGAAGGTCTGCAATAGCGAGCAAAGTTGTGACCATTGGTTTATGGCTGTGGAAGGCATGGGAGTACATTTAGAGTTTTCCCTCTGATGGTCGTGGCCCCGACCCCAGTCTGCCCGGTGTCCTAACGTCACTTCCTGGTGACGCGCACGTCGGGGTGGGGTTCCCCCTGGGGCCTGATCCGCCGCCGGCGGGGAACGGGCCTCTGGGGCGGGGTTTTCCCCACCCCCCCGGGGGGACTTGGCAAGCCTAATTGTATCTCTATTTGTTGTTACAATAAATAAAATAAATTTTAAAAGGGAAGTTTGATTTTCAAGCACCTTTCTTGCAAAATTCACATAACTGAAAAAAAAATCATACGTAAAAATACTACAGAAATCCAATTGCTATATTATTTGTAGATCTGTCGACATTGCATTAAAAAACAATCACCGCCCACAAAACATATGTGTATTCCAGTTCTACACCAAATAAATCTTGTAAAGAGCCAAGTCTGACTGTCTCCTCCTCATATTTTATGCTATAGTTTCAAGTCTCCTCCTGTGATCTCTGGGATCATCATAACAAGTGTCGCATTGGTAACAGAGACAAACCAGTGGCTGAGATGTTAAATAGAGAGCCAGGAGAGGGGGATGTGATCAGATCTCATTGAGAACCCAGCAAGGCAGGAGAGAGGAGAGAGACTTGCAGCATCACAGTGAGTGCAACTGTGACATGAGAGAGGGATCCTGAGAAGAAGGAAGAGGACGACCGACTATTTCTCTCAAGCATCATGAAAACAGTTATCCAAGTCTTGTGCTTCTCTCTCTTAATAACCTTATACAAATGTGCTGTGATCACTGGGGTAAGTTGCTTTCATTTGCCTTGCTTGTCTAATTATTGAAGAAGTCTGACCATGCATTGGGAACTTAAGTGAACATTTGCAATGAAGACGGACTGTGATGTTGGAAAGTCTGGGACAGAAGGAGATAAGCATCCTGATGACCTTCAGAGCAAAGATCCTGGGGCTAGTGTGTTTTAAAATGTAAAATGCATCATTCCTGTGAGAAACAGCCTCTAAATATTGTTACAATACTTTCCAGCAGCAGTTACAGAATTTGGACTGATAGCTGACCCTGCATTAATAGGTGGGATCAATAGTAGTTACGTACTGCAAGTACATTCAGCTGGAACCGAAAAGATGAGTTTGTTTGAATCAGAATGTACAGGTCAGGGTGTATGAAAAATTAAATTAACCAAGGGAAATTTCAGGATGAGTTTCATTTTGGATAACAAAATTAAATTATTAATTTGTTCACAAATATAATAGGCACATCTGGAAATTTGTCATGTAAAATATAATTCATCCTGCAAATGAAAAAAAACCCCATAAAAACAGCAGTATTATCAGCTACTGTATTCTCTTGTAACACTTGTGCTGTTCTGAGCTTTTGACAAAGTCTCAGCTCCTGGACTTAGGGAAGGTCATGGAAAACTTTGCTTTATTCCAAAGGATATTTTTAACACTCTTGGACTCAGGACAAAAAAACCCAAATGTGACCCTTTGGTTACATACAAATTCAAGTGTTAGTGTGTATAAGCAGCTCAAATAATATTTCTTTTAATATTTCTTTTAAAATTTGGGTTGAGAAACTACCTGTGCTGACAACACTTTATAGTAAAAATTGCTTTATTTCTGTGTCATATGATTATTTCTTTCCGTTCTCACTAGGAACACATACTTAACATATGTTTCCCTTGGGGCAAGCAATTTCTAGCTTTATCAGATTTCTACGATTGTGTAGATAAACTGCTGAGAAGAACTCAACTGTGAGCTGGTACAGATGTTACACTTCTAAAAATTTGCAGTATGGTCTTCCACATGTCAAGAGATGCCTGATTCACCGACTCACAGAAGATCACAGCAGTTACTTCTGGGATAAGAAAAATTTAATCATGGGGGAAATTCCAGAGACCTTCCATGAGTTCATGTATTACATGTTACATGTCTCACATAAGTAGATCACTTAAAACAGTTGTGCATACCAACTAACTGCTATAAATATGCTTTGGCTTGCAAGTGAAATTCTGAAGCTGATGGCAAAATGCTCCCTGATTTGATGGTTGCTTACAATGTTACTTATTAAAGTAATATGTGTTTTAAAACCTGGGCCAGATATAGAGGGAGTCATGATTTTTGGATGACTGATGCAGTAATTCTTAATGAAAAAGTAATAAATTGAGTCTGTAACCCTAGGCATGTTTACTTGTAAGTCCCTTTGAACTGAATGGAATTTAGCTCCCAGTACGTGTGCATAAGACTGAGCCCAGGTCACATATACATGGTCACACGGAGCATTAGGCATGCTAGAGAGACGGAAGATAGGCGGATTTTCCGGGCGTGATCTCACCGCCACATCTGGGAAGCGTTGAGCTCCCGTGGTGCACCTGAGGCTTCCCGCCGAAGATGCGGGGTAAAAAACTAGTACCTCAGAGGTACTAGTTTCCAGAAACCGCGGGGCAAGGGCGGGCGTCTGATCGCGTTTCTGGTGGTAGTTCCGGCGCCCGCCCATGTCCCCTCGCAAAAAGGTTTTTTTCCCCCAAGTCTCCATGGATGTGCACAAGCACCCAACGGAGCATGCGCACATTTAAGTTTTAAAAACAAAACACAACCCCGTTTGTCGCGCCGCACCGCTTCTTTGCCGCGTGTGTGATCGGCACCTCCCCCCTAACCACGGGAGCTTGACGGGACCTCAACCCGAAGCCTGATGGTTTGCTCCGGGGCAAACAGCCACGCTCCCCCCCCCGCATTTTCCTGCCTGTGTGGCCAAGGCCATGACTAATTTTAGAGTGAGACTCAAATCCTTACCTCTAGGTGATCTTTGTTTATGATGGCAACTTATGAAATGCTACAACTGTGCATTTATAGGACAGAAAATGGTTTACTTTTTTGGTTTATATAATGAAGTCCAGCTACAGAACCATCAGATAGTACTTTGGAAGGATTCTACACTTAAAACTTTGCTTAGACACTGTTCAGGCATCTCCCATCAGCTGTCAAGTACAGAAATATGACGTCATACAGCCCTCCTAGAATTATGCCATTTGAAACCGTTTATGGAAGATTACATGTATCAATGTTCTGCCAATTTTTTAAAAATCACTGATATGAAGCTATCAGGCTCTTAGAACCCTTCTCCTTGACATACTAACAACTGCTGAGGTTTCTCTAGGGAAGCCTCACTTCAGCTGTTCTCAGAGTGGCAACCATTCCCTCCCACCACTAGCCAATGAAGCAGCAAGGCTTTTGTTGTGATAATCTTTTATTCACCCCAAACCTAGGAAACTGGCTCCAGGAGCCAATTTTATTGGAACTCCCACATGTAAACGCAACCAAACTCACACCCGAGTTTCCTATCTTGACATGGGGCAATTCTGCATTGGATTTTCCCTCCATTATTTTACGAAACCCACATTGGCACAGAAATTCCCCTCTGCATTGCATGCTGCTTTCACTCTCTTTGATCATCGGATTTTATCCACACTGCATCCCGCTTTTGCTTTTTTTGATCATTGGATTTTATGGTACCTTCTGCATAGATTCAGGGGTTACTTTGCAGTCAGTACAGCATTGCCCCGAGGTATTTGAATGTGGTTTTAAGTGGCACTTTCCCCTCCCAGCTGAGAAAATGTGGAGCGAATGCCAGATGCAGAATCACCCATGTTTCTGTCTACAGGAAAACAAATACCACTTGCCCACCACAGAGGGAGAATGAGCACAGAGTGACAGCAGGAAAACAAACCACACTTAAGCCAGGATATAGTGATCACACATCATGAAAAACCATAGTTAAAACTACCTGTGGTTAACAAACCAGCTTCAGACTTAGTATGAGGTACATGAGCTATTCATAGTTAATATGGTGGCGTGGGTTAAGATGATCAGTTAGCTACGGTTACTTGAATTAACGTATGGCTTTTCATTATATGTGAACCAACCCACTAAGTTCTAACATGTTTGCACTGGATTCTTTTTTCTAATAACACAATATTTACCCGATACCTATTAAGCTGAAAGTGTCATTAAGAAGTGTTTCCTTTCAAAGCTTGAACTAGAAATGTTTATTTATTACAAATAATCTCTAATGGTGAGCCAAAGCCTTTTACAGTGCAATCCTATGCAGAGTTAGTTACTCTAGTCTAAAACCACTGAAATGAATGATTTTAACAAAATATGAACCAAAACCTTCTATTTATTAATATAAAAACTGAAAAATGAACTACATCCTTGCTTGAGAAGAGGTTTGATTTTTTTTTATAAACAGTGGCTCCTATGTGCTTGAGCTATTTAGTTCTCTGATTCTGTGGCTGCTTAGCACATGGGGAAACATTTTACTTGTACACTGTATTGTATAGGAAGCACTGCACACTGGAGAACGCTTATAGTCAGTGGTGTACTTCCCCCTGGTCTGGTGACAGGCAGCAATGCCATTGGGGTGAATAGACAAAGGCAGACATTTTGTTTGCCTCCCCACTGGGGGAAATGCCAGGTAACATTTGCATTTAGAACCATACAGGGAAACTGTAGTAGCTCAGAGGTTGTGGTCCCATTCATTTTCAAAAAAAGATTTACATATCCTAGCTGTATATAATGCGTACTTCCATCCTAAGGGAAAGGAGTGACTACATTTGTCAACCTCACCCACTGATGTCACAGAGGAAGCAGAAGGGTTGTGTGATGGTTCTACAAACTTTGTCTTCCTCATCTGACTCCATTCCTTGCACATTCAGTACAGAGGTGAGCCCCCATTTCTACTAAATGTGGTGTCTTCCTGATGGCATTTTAGTTATTATTTGTATTTTATTTGTGCCTGCTATGCCATGCTACTGGCTTCATTGGGTCGCCAAGTCCCTCCCTCTGTCAACCTTGCCTATAAAACAGGACTGCTTATCTGTCTGAAATCTGTCAGAGAGGATCTTTGTGTGCGAAGGGTACAATGTGTGACAATTTCAGCCCTATTGGTATGGACAGGGGATTACAGGTGGAAAGAGGTTTCCCATTGAAACAAACAGAAACCAAATACCAGTTGAACAGCTGAAACAAATAGCTTTAATAACAGATATAATGAAACCAAATGAGGATTTAAAAAAATAAAAAACAAGCAAAAATTAAAATGGATTTATTTGCTCATTCCTATTATCAAGTACGACTATTTCAACAACAATTTAACTTTGCCCCCCTCCTCACAAAATAACAAACCCAACAGGGAAGGAACTGTCAAACTTTGAATTCTAATAACTAAGTGCTGATAGCTTCATTCTTGATAGATTATTTCCTGTTCCCTAAATACTTCTAATGGTTTCAGCATGAGAACTCATGAATAGGCTTGGCAGGATTTGATTTGTATTTGTTTAGCGTTTCCCTGAATAAGACTGATGCTTATTTTCCCCTTGTCTTTACTTAATTTAAACTGTTTCAGTTTTAACAGATGCAGGAAATTGCATTATTATGTATTTGTCCTGACTTTTATCTATTTAAATCATGACAGCTGTAGCATGTGAGTCAGACATTTTTTGTATGACAGTGTAAGTAGATATTTTTAAAATATTAACCCCTGTTAATGCCAATACTGTAAAACACTAGCAGGAAAAAAATTACAATTGTAAAAAATAATGGTTGGAAGTGATCTTTAGATATCTCATCCAAGTCATTAAACAATAGGAGGATCCATTCTGCCCTTACAGAGTAGCCTACATTTGTCAACTTATTATGTTCCATAAGCAAAGATCAGAGGTGATGAAGCTGGCTAACAAGAAGTTCTTGAAGAACAGATAATGAAGTTTAGTATGACTAGATGCATACACTGGGTTTAGCTTGACCCTGGCAAGTCAAGTCTTAGCTAAGAATCTGCAAACGGTAGTCTGGAGAGCCTCATCACAAATAGATCCATTGTTGAAAAGCTCCCACTTTGCCATTCAAATCATCTCATGTGTTTGCAATATTAATGTTCTTTATATTGTGGAGATGAGGGTAGCATTAAACTTTGCATGACTTAAAGGGGTTTTGGGGGTCTCTCTTGCTGTTCCCTTCTCCCCATCATTTTTTTTGCCAAAACCCCTCCACCACCCTCACCCTATTCCACTCCCTTTCACATTCCCAGCACTTCCACCTACCATCTACCCAGAGTCTTCCAGATGAACTGAGAAGAGAGAGGGAGGGAGAGGAGGCTGTATCTTCAGTTATCTGCTGCTGTAGTGTTAGGCACCACTAGGTGGTGAGGTAGACTTGTTTTTAAGGCAATAGAAATTTCAGAGGTGGTTTGCCATTGCTTGCCTCTGCGTAGCAGCCCTGGTATTCCTTGGAGGTCACCCTTCCAAATAGTAGCCAGGGTTGACCCTACTTAGCTTCCGAGAGCTAATGGGATCCGGCTAGCCTGGGCTATCCAGGTCAGGGCATTGGTGTACTTACTTGAACACATGCAGCTGCCTTTTGTTGAGTTAGATTGCTGGTCTGTCGTGGCCAGTATTGTCTACACAGACTGGCAGTGGCTTTCCAGGGTCTCAGGGGAAGGTCTTTCATGTCATCTCGTATTTGATCCTCATAACTGGAGATGCTAGGGATTGAAATTGCATTGAGTCATGGCCACTGTTTGATATTTGCTGACTATGCTAGTAGCTTCTATCATGCTGATCAAACTAGGGCTGCAATAAGCAATCCTGAATTCTCATACAATTGCATATGAGAATGTACACCATTATGCAACATGTATGGATGGTCTTAATTCCTGTACCTGTGCAACTATTCTCAGACATATGGCACCGGCAGAACATCTGCTTGGCATGCAGAAGGTCTCAGGTTCAATCCCCAGCATCTCCAGTTAAAAGGATCAGGTCGTAGGTGATGTGAAAGACCTCAGCCTGAGACCCTGGAGAGCTGCTGCCAGTCCGAGTAGGCAATACTGACTTTGATGAACCAAGGGTCTGATTCAGTACAAGGCAATTTAATGTATTGCTGTCTTCACTCTTGGTACAAGAAAAGAGAAAACACCCACAGCTCCTTAGTCAATCTGACAACAGAGTGAGGGTGGGAAACCTTGAGCAATGAGGCTGTGCCTGCCCCAGCAAACATCTGCCTCTAGTCACTCTGTCTGGACATGCAATGGATGGCCTTTCCAGATACATTGTTTGTGCAGAGGCTGCCTAGTACATTTCCTGAGCACCTTCCAGGTGATGCTTCCCAGGAAGTCATTGCCTTGCAAGCTCACAGCTAAATCTAGGCCCCGATCACACGGGCCAGATAACATGGGGGGAAGGCATGGGTGTTTGTCCCAGAGCAAAATACAGCACGGTAGCCTGATCACACAGTCCCCCCGAGTCTTCGCACTTAGGCTGTTAGCTGGCGATCACACCGCGATGCTGGAACGTGGCAAAGAAGCAGCACAGCAAGCGTTTCACGTTTGTGTGCATGTGCAGTTCCGCGGAGCGGCACTGCTTTCAGTTACGTGTTTGTGCACATGCACTTATGAAAAACATCTGGTTTGCGATGGGACGTGGACAGGTGCTGGATGCCACGGGATACTAGCGCTCCCACGATCAGACGCCCACTCCTGCCTCACAGGAAAAAAGCCCACAGAAAAAACCCATAGTCATAAATGCTCACAGGAAAAAAGCCCACGTGGAAAAATGCCCACATGGAAGAAAGCCCACACAGAAAAAAGCCATATACATAAAAGCCCACACAGAAAGTAGCCCACATGGAAAAATAACATGTAAAGCGCCATAGATATTTATAATGATGGATAAACATTCATCTCCATTTATGAGAATGAACAGGTATTACCTATATTCACATGCAACAATTTGTGTTGTGATTTTATCAATTATAATCAAATAATAATTTTGCTTTGTTATTAGTAAATCACTTCATTACTATTCAAAAGTGGCCTGTATGAAGAGGGCTTTAATGCTCTGGAGTGTAAAGGCTTGAAAGGGAAAAGGCAGGAAATAAAAGTGACCATTTGTTATCAATGAACTTTATTAAGAAGGAAAAACAATAACAACAGAAATTAAACTCTATATAGAAATATTTTAAATAAAATTAAATATGTTAAATTTATTAATTTACCATTTGTAATTTACACTGGGATGACTGTGGTGGAATAGGAAATTAAGAGCACTACATGATATGATTGCCACTTCCATTATTATTTATTATTTAATGTTATCTTATGGTTATGTTATCCTCAATGGGGACCCAGTCAGGAGGGGAAGCGACCTCAGCTGGGTCGACTCAGAGTTCACCATGCAAAGCAGCCATTTTCTCCAGTGGAACTGATCTCTGCCATCTGGAGAGCAGTTTTAATTCTGAGTGATCTCCAGCCCTCACCTGGAGAATGGCAGCAATAGTTCCCCAGGAGGAAATGGCTGGTGGAGGGTGGAGTCTATGTCATTTTACCTGTCTGAGGTCCTACTCCTCAAACCCCACTCTCTCCAGGTTCCACCCCTCAAATCTCCAGGAATTTCCTAACCTGGAGCTGGCAACCCTAGTCAGGACTGGCCCCAATGAGTTCCTCACCAAGGCCTAGAAAGGGTTTCCTTCCTTTGTCTTTTTATTGACAGAACCAAGCTTGGTTGCCTAGCAACAGCCACTGAGGGAAAAGTTAGTCCCACAGGAGCCAAGCTGGAGAAGTGTCTTCATCAGAAGAGACAGCTGTTTTGATAGTTAATTCTGTGAGGGACAAGTGTCCAGGCTGGAAGTGGGCAGGGGAGAGAACTGGACCCAGCACCCAGCCAATGGCATGTGAGTACTCTTGAGTGGTGGTTGATGGGCCAACGCATTAGACAATTATATATATAGGATACCTATTCATTCTCATAAGTGGAGATGAATTATAAATATCAATCCACCATTATAAATATCTATGGTGCTTTACATGGTATTTTTCCATGTGGGCTTCTTTCCGTGTGGGCTTTTTTCTGTGTAGGCTTTTATGTGTGTGGACTTTTTCCCGTGTGGGCTTATTTCCATGTGGGCATTTTTCCACGTGGGCTTTTTTCCTGTGAGCATTTATGACCATGCGTTTTTTTCTGTGGGCTTTTTTCCTGTGAGCTTTTTTCCTAGAATCATATTTTCTTAGGTTTACTTATAAACCCCTTTCAGTAAAAATGCAAAAAATATCCTGTGGCCATTTACAGTACGATAACATACCATAAATGTCTCTTTTTATTCAGTCAAGCTATAACATAAACAGGCTATTGTGTATGTCATATTATCTAAATGTTTATTAGAAACTTGTTTATCATGGAGGTCACTCAGGGAGAAACTAGACATTTGCTTTTTTAAAGAGTTGGGTCCAAGTTTCCTGTTGCATCTTGGGTTCCCTACAGCCACACAGCAGCTGTGGGAAATGGCTATTAAAAATAAAGCAGAGTCCTTTGAGGTTTGAAACACTGCTGCAGGGAGATGGAAAGGCTCCTGCCTCCCCCCGCAAGTTATTTTCCACTCTGAAACAGTGCTGGGGAGAGGGGTTATTTTGGTGTTTCTGCTGCTCCGTGTGGAGTATTCTGGAGTATTCTGGGATCCCGGATCCAACTCTAAAAAAACTAATATCTGGATCTAAAATCTGCTGATATCTGTTTCCCCACCATTTTATTTCTCTCAGTCTTACTTTCTTTCTTACTGTCTTAAAATGTTTTGGCTAATTGACCCTGCTGTGGTGCTTCCTTCTAGGCCTGTGAGAGGGATCTCCAGTGTGGAGGTGGGACATGCTGTGCCATCAGCTTGTGGCTCCGTGGGCTTCGGATGTGCACTCCTTTAGGGCAAGAGGGAGATGAATGCCACCCCATTAGTCACAAGGTATTCGTAAATGGCTTCTTCACTTTCCCATGTTTAACACTAGCCAGTTCCAGCTGCTCTGGTTCCAGTTTCTTTGGCTGAAGAGCTATTTAATTTGGAGAATGGCTCCTTAGGCTAAAGGAAAGCTTAAAATGCTGTTGAGAAGAGTGATATGATACAGGCCACTATTATAACTGTTCTGTGCCTAGTCTAAGAAATGAGAGTGATTAAGGAAGATTCCTGGATATTTAAACAATTCCTGGATATTTAAACAATTCAATTTCACTTTTGTATTCACGTCTTATTATCATTGCATGCACCCTCCGACTTGTGGGATCTTACAGAAAAATCTGTGAGTGAGCTGGACTATGCATGTAAACAGCCCAACTAGCATTTGGCAGCTATTTATGCAATCCTTCAGCTCTTCATGTGCCATGTAAATTACACTACTTTATTTCAACACATTTCAGTGGACCTGGAAGGTTAGACGTGGAAGTTATGAAAGGCCAGCAAATGGAGCAAATGGGCTACTGTAATGTAAAAGTGAATCTCTACTGCTGTAGGTGTCAGAAAACATCACAATACTTGGCAAGTTGTTTATCACAGGAGTGGGTCAGGGACCAAATAATTCCTTAGTTCTGCCTCAAGGAATCTTGGTTTCTGGCCTGTGAATAGTAGTTGCTGAGGACAACAGAGGGGAATTTCGGTATCTGTGCCTAGTTTTCAGACCCTCTGAGTGTTCAACACCAAGCTACATCACCATAACGTTATATAGTTGTTGCTTAGTTGTATCAGGCCACGCAGATAAGGATGTCAAGATTTGGCCTAATGGCTACTTTATCCACATTCCTTTCCTTGTTCCATGCTCTATTTTCCTTGGATGCCAATAATGGCATATTGTTAATGTCCTCTGTGTTTCTGTTTTCTCTTAAAGGTCCCTTTCTTTGGAAAACGACAACATCATACCTGCCCATGCTTGCCAAATTATATATGTTCCAAATTCATTGATGGCCGATACCGATGTTCTGTTGACTTCAAGAACATGGACTTTTAATAAAAAGGAAAGAGTCACCTGGCCCTTCCTACCCCAGAATTCCCACAGTGCGCATCACTTAATCACATACTTCTGTCTTCAACACTTGTAAGGACATTGAAGTTCCCATTTACACAAGTATTGTCCTTTGATTTATATGGGATTACAGCAATGTGGGAGGTCAGTGACTCGTTTTAGTGCCAACATGCAAGAATTGTGCTTACAAACAAATTAAGGAGGTTTCAGAGTTGCAAATGTAAGTTAGGGGGATAACTGTGAGAGCTGGGTAGGTCTGTGTTTGTGGAAGTCTCTCCGATATACTTTTTAAAAAGTCTTTTGAATTTAAATAAACACTATTTGGGCTCATTATATTAAAAATACCATGCATTTCAATTTATCACACAGAACTTAATCTTTATGTGCAAAATCACTTATGCACAGTAATGTATCAGGTGCAGCTTGTTTCTTCCACTGTGAGTATGACCATTAGGAAATTCCAATGCAGCAGCTGACCAATCCTTAAAAAGACAGAAAATACTGCATGAAATGCCCATTTCTTTACTGAAGACTAATGAATCAAGCCTTTTCACATGCTACATTTGGAAGGGGCTGTGGCTCAGTGGTAGAGCATCTGCTTGGCATGCAGAAGGTCCCATGTTCAATCCCTGGCATCTCCAGTTAAAAGATCTGGCAGTAGGTCATGTGAAAGACCTCAGCCTGAGACCTCGGAGAGCCACTGCCAGTCTGAGTAGACAGTACTGACTTAGATGGACCCAGGGTCTGATTTGGTATAAGGCAGCTTCGTGTATTCATGTGTACAGTCTGCCCAGATAAGTTAATGGGCACACAACATCTGAGTCTGGAAGCAGATGGAGGAAAAGTTTTCCACAGCAGCAGTTAGGGGGGCATGTACCATTTGCTGGCAGATGACCTGCCTCCATTGGTGAATGTTGCTGCACAGAGGAAAAGCATCACTGTGACTGGAGGGCATCACAGGGCAGAAGTCCATTGGTCTGTAACTCTAGCAGAAGCACAGCTATGGACTGGCCATTGGGGATGGGCAACAATGACAATGGCCTGCCTCAAGCACTGCCCCTCTTACAGAAGTCAGTGTGGTGCTGAAGTAGCGGCCTCCCTGCCTGTGCCACCACCACGCCCTCTTTAAGGTTAGCGCATCCCCCATCTTCAGGTACTGGTGTTCAATGGTGAAAGTTGGTAGTCTGCCAGCAAATGGCTGCATATAAATCACCTCTGGTTTCACCCATATGATCAGTTCCCCCCACATTTTATGGTCTTTATTTCCTACAAGAAGAAAGAAATGGAACCACAGCCAGCATGAGCACATCACTGGATCTGCAGTGGGTTTGGTCTCTGAATACTGAAATGATTTGATAAAGCCAGTTGGATTCACTAAGTTGTTTCCACCCTAACCCCTTTCTCTGGAACCGTCGCTGTTCATTCCTCCTGTTATTACAATGAATCAGTGCTGAACTGGTGCACTCCAGTGTTTCCTGGATTGTTCTTTTGTCTTTTTAATCACCAGGTTTGGGGTGATCTCACCCTCTTCAACTTTTAACACCATTGCTGCACCAACCTATCAGAGCAGACTGGCAAAGCTTTATTTAGACATTTGACAAGGCAGTGAACGAAGCCCCAGTTTCATTCACTGTCTTGCCCATGTATGAAGAGTCCTCTCTCTTCAAGAATGAATATTCTTATGGGCAAAGTCCTGGGATGTGTTCCCACCCTTTCCCAGACAGGGTTGCAGCAACAGTGGGGAAGGCAAGGGAAAGGGGTGAATGGGGACACCAGTGGAGGAGGAGGAAGGAGACTGGTGCTTGATCTCCCTCCCTTGCCTCATAGCCTAGCGGCTGGACCTCCGTGGGCTACGGCAGCAGCCTCAGCTGCTCATCCTCGCCTGTACCTGCAGGCTAATTTCCCTCCCTCCGTTTGTTCTCTGCCTCCAGGATAAAACACCACAGGACACCCAAAGCAACCTTTGGGAAAGAAGAAGTGAACAGGAGCTAGGAAGGAGGTGGCTTGGGAGGGCACTGGAAGGGAGGGGGAGGCTGGGTGACAGCAGCAGTTGACCGTACAAGAACAGTGTTGATATGTGTCCGGGAGAGGCACCCGGCAGCCAGCACAAGGTAGTAAAAATGTGCAGATCACATTAAAAAGATAAAAACAAATGTACTCTTGAAGCCACTTAAAATTGACTAGAAAACAATGAAATTGCAGAGCTGCGGGGAGGGGGGGAGGGAAGCAGTTCATTGGACTACCTAGGACTTACTCCTGAGTGAACTTAACTAAGATCTTGTGTGGGGATCTGGGCTTTGCTGGATTTCAGTTGGAATCTAACACTGAGAACAGTGCAGAACCACAGTTAAAATTCTTCTTCGAGCTGATTGCAGAAGAGTAAGCAATGGGCAGTGAAAGAGGACCTTAAGGACTCTTGCAGGGAAGCAACAAGGCCCATAGCTACAGTGGGGCATCTTGGGGCCAGGTCCCCCAACTTACTGCCCAGGCCTCCCTCCTTTTTGATGAGCCGGGTGGAGAGCACGGCTGCTGCCACCGAAGAACTCACAGCCTCCCCACTATCGACCAAAAGGCAAGCAGGCGCCAGTGGAGGACATGCATGTGTACGTGCTCTGGCTCTCCCTGCCTGCCACTCAGCCACAGCAAGATCCAAGGCAGACTCACCAGACTGGGCAGGTGGCTGGCCAGTTGTCTGGCACTGACCACCCTCCCTCCCTCCCTCCCTCCCTCCCTGGGCTGGGCATGCCGGGCTGGGTCTGCACGCTGCTGTTACTGCTGCACACTTGGCCCCGGGTGAGGCCAGGCAGGCACAACCCTTCACTATCCCTCTCCCTTAATGGCTTGCTTGGCGTGTGTGTGCAGGGGTGCCCCCTGACTTATTTAAAGGCCCCACGAATAAAAAATCCTGGCTACGGGCCTGGAAGCAACTCTATAGAATGCCTTAGTGTGTTTTAAGATGCCCCAAATATTTTTATTTTAAATCCATCCCACTAGCACATGAGGCTGGGACTGAAAGGATCCTCTTTAGACTGTACAGTGGAAGCCCATTTCAGTCTCTGAAGCACATGTTCCATCTCTGCTGAAGAATTTCTGGGAGAACTCAATGATTTTTGGAGAAGTATCATAACTTTCCTACAGCTGCTCTGCTACTGTTCAGCATGATCAGTGGCATATGTCACTGGTGGAAATTGGTGGTGCAGCACAGTGCTGTCAAGTTGCCGCAGACTTATGGTGATCCCAGAGGGTTTTCAAGGCAAGAGATATTCAGAGGTGGTTTTGCCTCTGTGTAGCCTTCCTTTGTGGTCCCTCCATCCAAGTACTCACCAGAGCTGACCCAACTTAGCTTCCAAGATCTGACAAGACCACACTAGCCTGGGCCATCCAGGTCAGGGCGACTGAAATTAGAACCAGCCAATATTTGGTCTCTCCCAAGGTTCTGAAAGCTTGTGGAAAGACTTCCTGATTAAGTGGGAGGGGCCCTTGATTCTCAGTAGTAGGGTCTGATTAATCATAGCTCTGAAGCCATGGATGGGTATGATACGGAAAGAAGAGATGGATAGGAATGTGCCATGTAACACAATATTTGACACTTATTTTATATACATAAAGAACATGTAACACTTATTTTATATACATAAAGAACACTGCTTTCAATGTGGACAGAAGCCTAGAACTACACAGACTGAATATGAACTGTTGTGCAATATGAAATGTTTCCCTGTAATGTCCTTTACCGTCATGTCACATGTTCTATGTTATAATATGAATTATTTTCCTGTATTTTATCATAAATTATGTAGATACCTAATTTCTCTCTTATTGTGTGATGATTGCTTAGTCATCTTTGGCTGGAGGCTGAGGACCCAACTATACATCCGGTCATGAATTGAGTAGAGGTTCCCCTAACCCAACTACCCATTCCACACAGCAACTGCAGGGCAGTTTTTTTACCCAAGCTCTGCAGCAGTTCTGTGGCTGCAAGGAAATCAAGTCTGATCAGAGGAACCTTCTTCTATCTCTGGCAAAACTGATTTTGTAATTTTTGTGTTGTTTCAAAAATCTACAAAACTTCTCTGTGACAGTGGAACCAAGGGAAGTAGTGTTTAGGAGGAGGATTCAAAAAGCTCTGTGTGAGCTGTATTAGTATTAAGGTTACTGGCATTTTCCTTCTTGACTTTTCTTTTCATAATGGGATGGGGTCATTTGCAGGCCTTGTGTTTGCTTGCTGTTTGACGGGGCAAGGAAGAACTGGCAGTCTGTGTCGGAAGAGGGCAGATGGACAGGAAGGAGATGTACTGCTAGATGGTCCTCTTCCTGTTTCGAGATATCAGGATGCTGGTGGTGTGTGCCTTTGTGTATGCATGCATGTTGAAAATGGGGCCCACATAGATCAGAGGAGCAAAAGCTGGAAATGATGCTGTTCAGAGGATGTGGGCAAGAAGGCACACAAGCATATTTCAGTAGCTACAGTGAGTGACACACCATGAAGTCCTGAAAGGACACTTTGTTGGCCCTCAAGAGCAACTGTGGGGGGCTGGAATCCTCCCGGACAGAATGAGGTGTGCCAATCTGGAAGGAATGAACTGGCCCCACTATAGAGGCAACAAAGCACATGCTGGTCTTACAAAGCTCTTAATAATCATTCTAAGGCCATGTTGCATCTTCTGCTGCTACTTCACGGTCGGAAGAAAGCAAAACCACAATAAGTTGTTCTCATAGTAGCAGGGATGATGCAGTAGGAAAGATTCCTGGACAAAAGACAGGGAAGAGGTGACATCATCAGCCACAGAACAAAACCCAAAAAACAGACAAAAAGTGGGACCTGAAAGAGCTGCTTCAAAAAAAGTTTTATTATGACTCGACACATTTCAGTATCTTCTTCAGACACTAGAAACTTGCTTTGAAGTTAGCTTGCTTTTAGCAAACAGCTTTCTCAAATATGATTTTTAGGCTTATATTAATGAAGTGCTTCAAGAACCAGCATG